CCCCTTGTTGGCCTACTCCAGCTGGAACTAATTGCCCCCCGGCCCCAGCCGGGAACTCCTTTAAAACCGAGGGATCTCTGTCTTCAACAGCCTGTTCCCCTTCAGACGGCACATACTCACTGCAATCTTCCAACCCTTTTTCTTTCAAGCCAAACTTATCAGGGATTGCGTAGGCCCCAGCTAGGAAATACCTGTAACCCTTACCGCGGTCACGACCACTAGCCTCTACGTCATAAGACTGTCCAGGAAGAAAGGGTCCCGCTATGTCAACACTTAGGGAGTGAACCCCAGGACAGGCACTGCGCCAATGAGCCCTCTGCCTGCCTTGCGCCGCAATGCACACTGGGCAACCTTTACGATAAGGCACATGGTCCCTTGCAACATGAAGGTCATACTGATCCCTTTCACTCAACCGCTTAAGAACCAACCGCCTTTCCATCATATGGTCCTGATCCCCTAGCTCTCCTAGCCACTGGGTCCAAAAACCCTGAATGATCCGGAAAAGATGCATGGTCCATCCACACTGGCTGAGTCCCATACCCTCTGGGCACATCTGCTGCAAAAACCCTAGACCCACCTTGTTCATTGGTTCTGCCCTTACTTCATGCACAGTCTCATATAAAAGCCACGACGAAGTCATCAGCCTGGATGGGTAGACACCTGGTGCCCCGAAGCATCCCTGATCATACCTAGCATCATGTAATCCATACACCTGAGCCAGAACCTTCAAGAGATTACCCGTCAAATGATCTGGAGACCTCCCGCCTGGTGCAACCACGAGAAAAACCTCGCTACTGGGTAGCCTGACCTTCGACTCGCTTGAACAAGCCGCCGCCCCAACGAGCTAAGTCAAGAGGGTTCTCCCAAGACTCAGGGATTTCATCCGCTAAGGACTTCTCAGACCCTGCCTCTGGTTCCCAGCCACCTTCTAGCTCCCCCTTTTCCCTTACAGCTTGAGCTACAGCAAAAACCAGAAAGAACCTGAGGGTCCGAATCAACCTCTCAAAGCCCCCAGAGGATAAATCCCCTTGTTCCCCTAAAGAAACCCCTTCTAGCAGATCCCACTCGTCCTGGTCCGTTACCCCTTCGGCTTCCTCATGTCCCCTTGCACCTTTTATGACTCCGCCAATCACACCCTTACTTGCCCAACTCATAAGAAGCCTGAAGACCAACCTTGATCCTAACCCCTTCTCCGAATCAGCCACCTTAACCACTCTTCCCAAACCCTTCCACGTCAGAGGATGCGGCGCGATAGCCACCATCACTGAGCCGGCTCTCGAGCGATCCACTGATCTGCGAAGCCTACGGTTCCACGGAAGCTCCGACCAGTCTACTTCCCCACTATCCAAAGCAGGTACACACGCAGCGGCCAGAAACTTTAAAGGCACATTCGGGAACATCCCTCGTAGAAAAATCAGCTGATCTACATCAGAGAGGGCCTTGGGCTCCCCCTGTCCTAAGCGTTGCGCTAGCCATGTTCTGGCTTCTCCCGGTGTCATGGCCTGTTCCAGACCTTCAACCTCCACCTTGCTCAGAATAGGAACACCCGCCTTCATTTCTTCATACTCCTTAAGAAGTCTTAGCCCAACCTCCCTGGGAATGAGAGGACAGCCCTTCGCTAGAACAACCTCCAAATCCCCTCTCTTAGGATGCCTTACCCTGCAGCCCTTCCTTCGCCACGAAATCACATAACCCATCTCAATCAGATAATTCGCCGGCAAAATGACCTGGCATTCTCCCACGTGCAACAGCGTTCCTTGGTTATTGATCCGCAGCTCCGTCCCTCCGGACGCTAGGTCGACACGGATAATTCGGCATTCAGATAACTCACCGGAGTTAGCTGGACGCAGAGCATTTGTTGCCCCGCTGTCCAGGAGACAGAAATTGGGATCTGATGCGCTGGTTAGGGCACTCCTAACCCACGACCAATCCAGCTCATCCACATGGAGAGGCTTAAGAGATACTCCCTTCAAAAGCTTCGTGGCCTCTGCTACCAGCGCTTCTGCTCCCGTTGGGCCTACCGCATTGGCACTCCCACAGCTACCCTGATTTCCAGCAGTTTCAGGTTTAGGAGACTCTTCAGTTACCCCTTTAGCTTGCGCCCCAGCTTTAGGCTTCGGTTTCGGCTTAGCTCCCGCTTTAGCCCCAGCTGTTGGAGACCCTTCAGACCCGCTCTCAAGTACCACCCTGTGTTCGGGAGGTACTATTGGGCAGTCGGGCCTAAAGTGCCCTGCCTGTCCACACGCTAAACAACGCCCTTCTTTCCTAGCCTTAGCCCGGTCATGCTTAAACATACAACTATCCCCGAACCTGCAACCCGATGAATCCGAAAACTTATGACAAGGCAAAGTTGAGGGATCACTCTTCCCTTTTCCCTTCGCCTTTCCTCCTTTTCCCTCCCCTTCCCCAGGTTGCACTCTGGCGACTGACGGAGAAGCTTCTGCATTTCCCTTTGCATTCGGAGGCAAAGGTGGTTCAGCCTTCAAATTCGGAGTCGAAGCTGCCGCGGTTCTGGGACGCTTGTCTACCGAAGCATCCACCACAAGAGACGCTGCCTCAAATTCGGCTTGGATCAGTCGCACTAACTGAACGATCCCACCCACTGAAGGATTGTAATCCAAACCCGACCTGTGCCTAAACGCGTTGACCCGGAACGCTACCATGGGCGCTGAGCTTAGTACCCCTAAGGTCGCCTGATCCACACCTCTCAAGAGCAAAGAGGGATCTGGCAACGTCGCCTGAATCTCCTTTGCGCGCTGTAAATTCTGCTGCCAACGTCGCAGGATAGGGAGAAAATCTTTGAAACTCTTTCCAGGCTCCGGTTGAACAAGTTGGGCCAAAAGGTGAGCACGCTCGTTACTCCCTCCCGGTTGCCATACACAAAGTACTCTGAACAGGATGGAAGCCGAGCTAAGCCACCTATTCATTATAAGATCATCCTTAACTGTAGCAGGCAAGGCCGCCAAAAGAAGGGTGACAGCCCTTGACTCTACTCGCTGAAACCGGTACGCATCAAAACCTGCAACTACGGAGCTCGGGTCAACAGCTAACCTTCCTAGAGGGTCGGCTACCAACCACCTCTGATATGCCCCATAAGCTGCATCTTCAACACTGCCATACCACTCCACCGCCCCAGGCGACAATCCAACAAAAATCTGCTTCACCTGAGCTAGCCAATTACCGCATGTAACCGCTGATACCGAAAGATCTGCCTGGGTAAGCTTGGGAACAGAATCCACATACCTAGCGGGCTCTTCAGGCTTATCCCCAACATTACTCATCCCATATCCTAATCCCGGTATCGACGGAAACCCCGGCGCACCTCGAACTCCAGATACTCTTGGAGTCCATGGCGAGCACGAAGCCACTGCTGTGTCCGGAGGCGGGAGTGCTGGGGGTCTTATGCTTGTTCCTCCAGGCGACAGAGGGTAGCCATCTGCATCAAACCTTGATGAGGCCTCAACCCCCGAACGCGGAGTATGGTAACCCCCTTCCCGGCAATCTACCCCTACACCTTGTAGGCTAGCACTGGCAGCAAATTGTCTCATAGTCTGAGGTTGAGCTGGAGCTGGAGGCGGGCTTCTAGCATGGGATGGAGACTCCGGAGGAGGCAAAGGCTTAGGATCCAAAGACCCTACCCTTCCGACTTCCAAACCACCTTCCCCTCCAACCCCAAACTCCACTATCCCCGAAGAACTTCCATAGTTCACAGTAGCTGGATTCAGTTGGGCCCTGGCTCTTCCTAAGGAGTGCACGCCTGGGAAACCTTCATATCCTAGACCAACCTCCCGATACCGTCCAAAAGACCCTGGGAAATCTCGAGTCATGCACTGATCTACGGACTGTACACCAAACAACTGCGGCGGCAATGCCTCAGCGTAGTGTGTCCCGTATCCAAAGGAGACCGGGGACGACGGGAGGTCTCCTGGAGTCCTTGCGCTGTGGAAGCTCGAGTGGGACTCCGACTTTATCTGCTGACGAAGAACATGATTCTCTTGGATCACCTGGCCCAGTAACTTCTCGATCCTGGACAGGCGGTCCGTTTGATCGTCTCCTGCAGGGATCAACTCCCTCGCATCTTCCTCTGCAGCCAGCTCGGGCCCTACTTCTTCAGCCTCCCTTAAGGCAGATCCTCCAGGAATCCTTGCCCCCTCGGGCTTTCCTTGAAAAGCTGCCTCGAGTTCCAAATCCAACTGCGCTGCTTGAGATGAAGAACCAGTGGGTGCAGGCTCCACCCTTGCCACTCTCGGATGATCAGACGAACGCCCAATGGCTCCCGTCTGGGCGCCGTAATCCGGCTCTCCTTGACCTCCGGTCCAGGATGTGTCACCCAGCTCTGCCTCATTCATCTCAAGTCTCCTTCGCAAACCATCATCGTCCAAGGTCGCTGGGCGATGACGGAGGAGTTCAACCTCCGACTTCACCTTGTCGGAGTGAAAAGGGTTCGCCACTGGGAGTGGTCCAGGAGCAGTTAAGCCCGGAGCTCCTCCAGACTCAAGTGTCCCCGGGGAGGCATCGCCTCCTTGAAAACCCACGGCTGCCAAACCTTCTCCCCCAGCTTGACCCAAGGCTGTTGTAAACTCATTATCATGTGCGATCGCTTCTGTTTCTGGATCACTCAGCCCGGCATTACGACGTCTCCTCGCGACGGTATCCATGGCCAAGCTTCTACAGAGTTCTTAACTCCCTTATTTGGTCCCACAAAAGCCCTCCTAGGCCCACTAGGAAACCAAGACACCTACGGCTGATAACCTATGTGAAACTAACCCCTAACCGAACAAACCACCGATGATCACAATCCGGTCCCTGAAAGTGTTCAATCTCGATCGGAAGGCTACACTCTCTTTTTTCAGCATACAGCCAAACAGCCTTCGGTTTGAGAGGTGAACAGCATACTCCAGCCTGTCATCTGCAAATAGGGGCTTAAGCTCACGCACCTACACCTTGAAACCGGAACCCGAAGCCTTTCTGTTTCTGTGCGTTCTTGCGCTCGCGGGGAGGCTGGCTATTCTGGTGGTCACTGTGCTCTTGCCGCTGGGTCATGCATTGGCATTCTATACGTGTCGACTGAACTCACCCAAGTTCGGGAAGCCGATACAAGCCTTAAGCACTAGACCCTACATCCAAAGCCTAAGCCGACACCCAATACCCTCGACCCGTTTTATCCGGCAGCCCTCAGCCCGAACCCCGGAAGTGCAAGACGCGCAAAGGATGTTCGTGCAAGTCGTGCTGGAGATCGGCGTGCACTTTTCTTATACGATTCAACTTATCAATCTGGTGTTTATGCCAGTCGCCCTCTGCTTGGCTTGGCACTTCCAGTCCCAGCTCGAAAGCAACATCCCCTTCATCTGGCACGATGCCCACGCAAGCAACTTGCTTCTGAGTCTTGGACAGCACCAGACCTCCAGTCTGACAGGTACGGGCGATCGCTTGCATCAGGCTTTGGCGGTTAGTCTTCGGGCCTCTCTGCCTGACCCTGAACCCCTACCCCGTCAACCCTCAACGCACCTTTGTTATCTTGTCGCTGAGCTGGATGCCCTTCTGAGGACTGCCATGTTCTACATGATCGTTGTACTCTATCTGTTTCCATTGCTTCTGCGTGGGTCGGCGGAGGATCTGGCTGAGAGCTTGCTTCTGAATGTTGCTGGATACTTTACCGTCTACCTGCCTCTGCTGGATGAGATCTTCTTTCCGACGGTCTTGATCACAGTCTACGCAGTCATGGCATCAGCTTTGGTTGTAACGGCTGGCAGTGTGCAAGTCACTGCAGGAGTCTACGTGCTGTTGAGCAATCTTTCCATAAGCGTAGCTATACTATACTGTGCTCCGAGTGGAGCACGTATGATTCATGTGATATAATGTGATCATGTTGTGGCAGTAGTAGGTGGAATCCGTCGTGCCACATGGCCTTGATTGCCAAAGCAAGTGTAAGCCGCTAGTAGCGGAGTACTGTCGACACCGCCACAAAAGCAGAATACATTGAACTTCGCTAGATCCCCCCTGCAACCGTGAAAGCCCTAAAGCCTAAACCCCCAAACCCAAAGCCTCGCAAACAAGCCCCTGAAGGCCTGACCCCAAACCCTAAACGTTTCAACCATAAACCCCTAAACTCTTCAACCCGAAAGCCGCACCTGGACCCCATAGGACCGACCCTCCCAGGTTTCCGTGTGATGATTTCCTTTATAATGCGTCCTTAAACAGGTAGGTTATTTGGGGTCCAAGCAAGCCCGAAACTCTAAAGACCTCAAACCTCAAACCCCGCTTCCGGAACCCTAAACGCTAAACTGCTAAACTCTAAACCGTAAACAGTTAAAGCGTTAAGCCCTAAGGCCTAAACCCTAAACATTTAAAGCCTTAAGCCGTAAACCCTTAAAGCCTTAAGCTCTAGACCCTAAACCCTAGAAACCTTAAGCCCTAAACCCTAAAGCTTTAAACTCCAAACCCCACTTCCGAAACCCTGGGTCCTGGCTTTTGGGCAGGCCAAGGAGCCCCAAGTGGGTGTTGAACAGCTCAATCAGGGGCCTCAATGATTAGACTTTAGGGTTAAAGGGTTTAGGGCCATCAGGGCTCCCATAATTGGAACTGCCAGGGTTCGTCAGTAGAGGGGCCTTAGTCATTAGAATAGGGTTTTGGGGACTAGTATGTGGTATAAACATTCTCATGTCAAAGAGAAACAGTAGGAGTGAGTCTTCTGACCCCCTTGTTTGCATGCATGGTTGTCCAGCCCTTAGGCTCCGTGTGCCTGTGTAGTGTATACTTAGGCCTCAAAAAGGTTCCCATGGAGGTAATTTGATACAGGTACATGGAGCCTTAGCGCAGGCCTGCCTTCAGGGTGTCCGAATCTCAAGATCTAGGGTGCGGGGTTTAGAGTTTATAGGGACATGGGGTTTAGGGTTTAAGGTTTGGTAATCCGGAGATTATGCAGCACAGCTCCAATCTACTAGGCCCTAAACCTTACCCAACCCGAAACTCCTAGACCCTTAGCCCCAAAAACCAAAGCCCTCAATCCAGGAATGAGGCAGCAGGTGCTAGCCCATCGCATCGCCTCTGCACAAGATCCTTGAGGTCAGCTGCACGGGACAAGGGTTTGGGGCTTTTCAGGCTTCGGGCTTAAGGCTTTCAGGGTTTAGGGCATAGGGTTTACGGGGTTGGGATTTAACGTAGGGTATAGGGCGTAGGGTTTACGGGGTTGGGATTTGACGTAGGCTTGGGGGTTTACGATTAAGATTAAGCCCTAAACCCTAAATCCGGTTTTGGGGTTGGGGTTCAGGGTTCAGGGTTCTAGGTTCAAAGTTTGTGGTTTAGAGCCTAGGAGACCGCTCTGGAGCCCCCTAAGTCCCTAGCAAAGGGGACTTAGTGAATGAGGCTTCGGGGTATGACCTAGTGTATTTCACTAACAAGAAACTTTAAGAAAGACTAGGTAGCTAGTAGCTATTTCGGCTTCTATAGTCGTTCAATTATCATTCAAAGGAGAACCCTGAGTTCTCAACCTTCTTGAGATAGATGCTTCAGGCGTTTCAGGCTCAGGGTTTAGGGTTCTAGGGTTTAGGGGTTGTTTCAGGCTTAGGGGGTGAACAAGGGATGTAGGGCATTTAGGATTCTGAGTCTTTACGGTTGTAGGTTATGTAAGGTTGAGCAGTGGGTTTCGGGATACAGCCACATGAAAGCTACTCCGGAAAAAAGCAGCATCTGGAGCTTGGGATTTGTTTGCGCGGCAGACGTGCATTCGTGATCTAAATGTTGCCCCGCAAATGGCAAACCGCAAAATCCCAAAGTCCGAAATCCCAAACCCCTCCAAAAACCACCCTCAACCCCGAATTAAGGACTAGTACGGGTAATCATCATCCAGCCTCCATGGACCGTAGTCCCTCTAAATCCAAAACATGAATCCCGAACCCATGGATTCTTAGTACCACCCTCGACTAAGGAAAATTTCGCAAACCACATTGACAAGATGTTGCGCTAGATAATGTAAGGTAGTATTCCTGAATTGAGAAGGGTGTTAGGCTCTCTGGGAACCATTTCGTCTGCTTCAGGCAGGCCAGCCGCGCAGACAGCCATCAAGCCTACCGCATTTTGAGGCGTTGATCGACATCGCTAGCAGCCGAGAAGGCCGTCAGAGCTTGAGCAGGGTTTCTCAGCGGCGTTTAGGAAGTTTGGTTTGTGGTTCGGGCTCACGGTTTGTAGGGTGTTAGGGTTCAAGTGTTGGGGTTTGCGGCTTACGGATCCGTCTAGCTTCTCAATTATTGAGGTGATCTTCTGTTCGGGTCGTTAGGACTATGTACGTAATCCCTCTGCAGGCCCCAGGGGCTGCGAGTGTTTCACAAGACTCGACGAACAAGGTCCTGCGCGTTTACAGGCTCAGGCAGGACAAGAAGGAAGAGCTCGTCGGGCAGTTCGTCTGGATGTACCATGCCATGACCACCCGGCAGCTACCTCGAAATGCACTCCAGGCCATACTCCTTCAGCTCTACAGCCCAAATAAACTTAAAACCCTAAGCCCAAATCTCTAGCCCTACGCCGAAGCCTAAACCCTGGTAAGCCCTAACCTAAGCCCTGAACTCCCCCCCCCCCCTCAGCCCTGAAACCTAAACCGTGGAAATCCCGAAAGTTCCGAAAGCTTTCCATTGGGTGTAGGGTTTAGGGACCAAAACACACCCCTACAGAGCCCCCAATAGAACTCTTACTCCCCTATTTTACATAGAAGAAGCACCCAGGCCTCTGCCAACTGTTCAACTATAAACCTTACAAGCCCAATACTCTTAAGTTTATAAACCCTCAACCCTATGCCTTAAACCCTAAGCTTAAAATCCTGAATCCTCAGCCCTTAGGCCCTAAACCCCAGGCCATCTTTCAGTTTCTCGACTCTTCCGAGCGCGCTTTTGCGGCCTCACCGACCATGATTGGCTCGGTGGCGGGTGTTTCGAGCATTGGAGGTCTCTCCCTCTCTGTCTCTCTCTTTCTCTCTGTTGTAAGGAGTCTTGAAACGGCTCCATGAGGGTTGTCAACTTATCAGGGTCTGTTGTATGGTTTGCATAAGGGTTCTGTACAGGTTCTACATGGGCTTTAGAAGGGCTGTATAAGGGGTTCCTTTAAAGGGTTTCATATGGGTTGTGAAGGTTCAGGTTGCCATTTGCTGTTCAGGGTTTACTTGCCATGGAGTTTGTGACTTCGGACTTGTTATATGATATACCCATGCCAAGCCCGAATTTGTACACCCAAACACATTCGATGGCTTGTCGGGACCCATGTAGGGTCCTTACCATCATGAAATGACGTCGCATTACGAGCGGTAAGCTATTTAAAGGGTAGGTTACCTTTTTTGAATGATTAACGATAGCACGGTGGAGTGCTGCAAAGCTTGTACTTCAGAACCCTAAACCCTAAACTCTACACCCCGATTCAAAGCAGCCCTCAGGCGGCGACTCGGCTGTTACTTCGGCGATGTCGTCGGTTGGGTTTCTTTGGCAGCGCATCTTCGATGCCATCTGGCACATGGACTAGGTTGGCCCAGAAAGGGAACGACGCCGGCGGCAGGTCCCTGAGTTGATTTCCGGATCGCACATCTCGGTCTCGGTCCCCCAATAGTAAGTAGTACCCCTTATTTATTGTACACATTAGTCGTAGCAAAAAAGGCTAAACGGCCCCAAACCCTAAAACCTTAAGCTTAGACCCTCAAACCCTACAAAAAGAAACTTTTCACCAAACGCGGCAGGACGCGATTTCGGGAAAGATTGCGCGCTGTGAGGTTGGGGTTCCGGGTTTAGGATTGAGGTTAAGGATTTAGGGTTTGGGGTTTGGGGTTCGGGGCGCAGTCGTCATTCTCTGCCGGAAGTTGGGGTTTTAGTCACATGAGCTTGGCTCAGCTTGGGGTTAAGACATGGGATTATAAGGGTTAAGGGTTTGCCGAGGGGCTTTAGGGTTTCAGGGCAAATGGTTGTTCTTGAGGTGTGAGGTCTTTTGATCCCTGGCACAGGGGCCTTTTCGTGAAGGTCGCATAAGGGAAGGGGGGGAAGGCTAACTATAAGAGCTATATACGATGGGAGTGCCTTTGCTTGAACCCTACCTGGATTCTTAAGAATCTACCTTTTGGAAGATTCCTGGTTTTGGTTTGCTTATATATGTTACATGTATAGGATAGTCCAGGGTGCGGGTAAACCCTTCAACCCTCAACCGCTTATCCCCCAAAGACCACGAAGCAAAGTGTCTTGTGCAGCGATTTATGTTGCTCAGGTTGGCGGCTTGGGGCTTTGGGGTTTAGTGTTTATTAGGGCTTTTGAAGTCATCATACTGGTCCTTCAAATATGTGTATAGCATAGAAAGACCCCAGGCAGAATTCTAATTGCTAAAGCCCGTGCAGTATTTTAGGGTTCAGGGTGTGCAGCATTTTAACTTTTTGTCACATTTATGAACTACGATTTCGTCTATCCGAAACCATACAATACTTGCTAAACTTATCCGCAAAGCCTTAAGCCCCACCCCCGAAATCCTAAGCCGACGTGTAGAGGTTTGAATACTTCGTGATACTCACCAATAAGCTTTCAGGAGTATAAGCCTCACCGAAAATCCTGGTTGAATTATTCAGGCACCTCGAGTTTAGCATCCTTTTTACCCGAAGCCCCACGCCCAACACCCTAAACCCCAACCCCCAAACCCGAAACTGAGGCCATCCCGTCCTGGTTCATCAAAGTCGAGGAGATGCGCGAGAAGCTGATCAAGAACAACAACCAGACGTGACCCAGCTTAGTGCACTTAAAGCAGACCCCCCCTTCAGTGAAATACACGACCAGCCACAAGACCTTACTATCAGGGTTCAGGGTTTAGGGTTCCCCCTAAACCCTAAACCCTCAACCCTAAACCCTGAACCCTCAAAGTTCAGGGTTTAGGGTTCCGGGTTCAGGGTTGAGGGTTTAGGGTCCGAGGCCTCTCTTTTTGGAATGCCCACACCCGTCAAGCCGATCATGACGGTATGGAGCTCCGGAACATGAATTTCGCGACGGAGGTACTGGGTGCCTCCCTTTGTGAAGGAGAAGCGTTTCCATAACTGGCTTACCGAGGCTTCGTCTGCTGTCGAGTCCAGAGCATGTCGGGATTTTTAGAGGGTTTAGGGCTCGGGCTTTCGCGTTTCAGTTCAAGGGCTTCGGGTCCTTTCAAGAGGGTTTGGCAGTTTAGGGCTTTCCGGGTTTAGGGATTGTGGTTTGATTAGGGTTCAAGGATTGATTGGGTTGCTCCATGCCTGAAAAAAGGCATCGAGTCATCCTCTCAGACATCAGTGGGACGAAATCTGACTAGGCACAGGTACTGAGTATCTAGATAACTTACACCCCAAAAACCTAAACCCTAAACCCAAACCCTAAAACCCTAAACCCTAAACCCCACCGTAGAGGGGGGCGGGTCGCAGCTCCATCAAGCTGCCAGTTTCGACGCTCATTTTCGACTGGGTAGGCAGAGTTCCACCCAAAAACCCTAATTAGTTAAGTCTTTTATGTCTCCCTCAAAAAAAGGCTTGTTGATTTAATCGAGTTTTAGTAATCAGGCCTTCCGGTGTAGGCTCTTGTGACTTAAAAAGGGTCAGGGAGATGGGTCACAGGGATCTGGAATTCTTAATCGAACATAGAGAAGCGTGGACTATTATTAGGATATGACACCCTTCCGTAGGGTTCCCTGTTATAAGAACACTGTAGCAATGTACCCCAAAACCCTGTTCCAATTATCAAGGCCCCCTAGACCCTGAACCCTAAGCCACGGCGCGTGCAAGGCCCGCGACTGGTGCGTGTCCCGGAATCGCTTCTGGGGGACGTCAGGGCCCTAGAAACCCTAAGCTCAAGAGTTTTCACCGGAATTCGGGAGTTCAGGGTGTTTACAGAGCCGGACCTATGCACTGTCTCTCTTATTCGTTCTCTCTGTCTCTCGCTCTCTCTCTCTCTCTCGTGCTCCGTCTCACCCTCTCTACAGAATATGCTGCCTAACATTTAGAAACCTATGCATGCAAGTACCCTAAGCCCGAAACCCAATAGTTGATGGCTTAGTTTCATCTACGCCTCCATCAAAGGCCCATGGCACTTGTGCTAAGGCCTGCTCCGAACTTGGATTTCCAATTCCCAAGCTCGAACCAGAAGACTACCCTTCAATGAAACTCGGAACGCCGAGCCTTCAACACCCAATATAGGAGCCTTAACAATTGGGATAGGGTTTGGGGGTATATCATACGATAATTATAATACGGACGCTATTCAAATTATGGAGGGCTAGGCGGGCGAAGGAGTTTGGCTGGATAGCATACAACCTGAACGATTACCAGTATTAGTATAGGGGCCTGGATAATTGCCAATACTAGTTTGGGGTTGCTTATTATTATACTTATAGTAAAGAAATAACCCCAAACCCTATTCTAATTATTAAGGCCCCTACATTGGCATACAACCCGAAGGATTACCAGTACTATCCCTTAAGGTTCCTCCCTCCCAAACCCTATCCCACGAATGCATGCCTTGCAACCCTAACCCCGGATGCTAATTCACGGTTTGAAGTTGAAGGGGTAACCCCTAACACCTGAAGTCCAGAACTGGAAGTTTAAACCCAAGGCCCTAAACCCTAAAGCCATACAGCACATGAACTCCGATCTCCTACACCACACACACCAAAGCCAAAGCCCCCCATAATTCAGCCCAATGCCCTGAACCCCGAAAGCTTCAAAGCCCTGAGCTTAGCGCCCCCCGCCAAGCATCGCAAGACCCTGGGCCTCTTCCGAGGGCAAAAGCCCCGAAGCCTAAACCCTAAACCCTAAACCCTAAACCCTAAACCCCTCAATCCTTGAAGCCCCCAACTCCGGAGTCCCACTCTCCAAACCCAAACCCCAAACCCCCCACAACCGCCCCAAAAAAAAAACCAACCCCAAAACCCCCCGAACACCCCAAAGGCTCGAACCTGGAGCCAAAAATAGTGAACCCAAGAAAGTGGGAACGTGGGTTAGGGATGATTAGGGTTTCGGGTTTAGGGCTTAGGGATGATTCGTGCTAGGATTCCTTATGCTGAGAACCATAAGTGCACGAAGATTCTCAGAATGTTCCAACTGCATGGCTTCTGCTGGAAGCCGCATCCTCGAGGCCGATCCCCCTTTGGGTTTCCTCAGACTTCGAGGAGGCAGGGTTCAGGGCTTTGGGTTTAGCTCTTAGGGTTTTCAAGTTTAGGATGGGTTTGGGAGGGCTTACAAAAGGGTGTGGATTTTTGGCTTCAGAAGGCCTGTGTCTATGAGGATGCTACAGGCATTGAAGGTTTTGGTCCTCGGGCTTCAGGGCTTTTGGGGGTCTTGGCGGTTGATGTTTGGGCGGTTTTGGGGTCATGGGCCAATGGGGATCGGGGTTTTAGAGTCTAGGCCTTCGGCCCTAAACCCTAATATGGGGGCCTTAAGAATTACCTATATCATTCGGAGGGTTCCTTATCATAAGTGTAGTATCAAAATCCCCAAAACCCTATTCTAATTATTAAGGCTCCTCCATTAAACCCTAAACCCTAAGCCCTAAACTCTAAACCCCAAGCCAAGTTTCAGGGTTGGACGGACATAGCCCGAAGCACCAGAACGTCTCGGCGGGTTGCTCGTCCTCCCGGGCTGTCGTGATTTTTATGGTTTAGGGTTTCTTCAGCAAGTACTTCGGATGCAGAGGTTTTAGCATGTAGGGCTTTGGGTTTCTGAGTTTGACCCTAAAGCCTAAACCCCCAAAGCCCCAAGCTCTAAACCCCCAAACCCATGAGCTCTACACGCTTCGGGGTCTTTTCTAGCGGTATATCCCCTAAAACCTCTTCTAGAACCCTCTTAAAGAACCCTTTTAGATCCCTTTAAGGAACCCAAGACCCTCAACCCTTTCAGGAGCCCTAGGTACTCGGCCCTCCTTCAAGGAATCCGGAACCCTTTAAGGAGCTCACTTTAAGGAGCCGCAGGTACTCGGCCCCCTTTAGGGAATCCTCTAAGAAGCCCCAGGTACTCGGTCCCCTTGAAGGACTCGGCCGTTTAAGGAACCCTTTAAGGAGCCCCAGGTGGTCGGTGTCCGCTTAAGGAACCCTTTAAGGAGCCTCAGGTGTACGCCCCACCCTAAACCCTAAACCCAAGCCC